ACGACTTCTAACAACTTTCTTTTCAACGGGGTCATACAACTTGTAGCCAAATTCATCCCGACCAAAACCAATAAAGATGCATTGCCTTGTCTTCATATCCAACTTGGATCTTTCATCCTTCGAACATGAACAAATGCTTTACAACCGAAGACACGTAAATGATCATAAGTAACATTCTTGCCAAACCAAATCTTGTCCGGCACCTCGGAGTTCAAAGCAACTGCAGGACTTAGATTAATAACATGCACTGCTGTAAACAATGCCTCACCCCGAAATGCTTAGGCAATTTTGCTTCGGAAAGCATACACCTAACTCTTTCAATCAATGTCCTGTTCATCCTCTCCGCTAAACCATTCAAGTCGAGGAGTTTTAGGAGGAGTCTTCTCATGTGCAATACCATATTGTCTACAATAAGCATCAAATGGTCCACAATACTCACCACCATTGTCGATACGAATGCGTTTCAGCTTCTTGCCTGATCGCCTCTCAACCAAAACATGGAATTCTTTAAACTTGTCCAACACTTGGTCCTTTCTCTGTAGTACATAAACCCAAAGCTTCCTGGAACAATCATCAATAAAGGTAACAAAGTAAAGTGCACCACTAAAAGACTTTACCTTCAATGGGCCACAAACATCAGAATGCACCAATTCAAGCAACTCTGACTTCCTGGAGGGAGGATGCTTCTTGAAGGATACTCTGGTTTGTTTACCAGCCATGCAATGAGAACATTTCTCCAAATCTACATTCTTCAATCCCGAGAGAACATCCTTTTTAAATAAGCGGTTAAGCCCCTTTTCACCGATGTGCCCAAGCCTTCGTGCCACAAAGATGACTCCATATACACGGAATTCACACTATCTTTAGCAACCAAAGCTTTTGTCCAGTAAAGCTTAGAGTTTTTCTCCCCTTTAGCCACAATCAAGTTACCTTTGGTGAGCTTCCACTTTCCAGAACCAAAATGGTTATAATATCCACCATCATCAAGTACCTGCACGAGAGATCAAGTTAAAGCGAACATCCGGAGCATGTTTAACTCCTCTAAGCAACAATCGCATCCCCATGTTGGTTTGCAAGTGAACATCACCAACACCAACAACTTTAGACACCCCATCATTACCCATCTTCAATACTCCAAAATCACCAGGTGTATAAGATGTGAAGAACTCCTTCCTGGATGTAACATGCGGTGTAGCACCACTATCAATTATCCACATGCTCTCATCGGATACAAGACTAATAGTGTCATAATCACGAAGACAAACAAGGTCACCACATGTAGTAGTAGTAACACGATCACCATCATCATTATCTTTTTCTCTTTGCTTACCCTTTTTGTCTTTGCTCTCTTTCTTCCACAAAAAACAGTTTTTCTTTATATGTCCTGTTTTGTGACAATAGTGACACTCCACATTCTTGTACCGAGACTTGGACTTGCTCCTGCTTTTATCTCTACCACTGTTTTGTTCTTTCTTTTGGTTTCTCCCCTATTCTCTCGTAATAAGCACTTCGAATGAGATGAAGTACCTCGTGTCTTCCTTCTCATCTCCTCATTAAGAGCACCACTCTTTGCCATTTGCAAAGAAATATCACCATTAGGGGTAGCACTTATCATGGAAACCCGAAATGTCTCCCACGAATCCGGTAAAGAGTTTAATAGGAATAAGCCCAATAGATCATCATCAAATTTTATACCCACTCCAGCTAATTGATCATAGCGTCCTTGAAATTCACTCAAGTGATTTGAAACATGAGTTCCTTCCTTGTACTTCAACTCCACAAAATTTTTCAGCAAGTACAATTTATTAGTCCCCGACTTAGAAGCATACAAGGACTCAAGCTTATCCCATAGGCTTCTCGCATGTGTCTCATTAGCAACAAAATTATAAACATTATCATCAACAAACCGCTCGATAAATCCACATACCTGTTGATGTTCAAAATCCCATTCTTCATCCGACTTGGATTACGGCTTATTGGAAGCAAAAACAGGAAGATGCAAATTTTTCACAAATAACAAATCCTTCATCTTGCCTTTCCATAAGTGATAATTTTCTCCATTCAACGGAATCAATTTTGTATGTGCCTCCATCATTCACGCAAATTAAACGAGTCCCTTAACCTAAGAGCTCGATGCCACTCGATGGTATAAAAAAAGGCCAAAAAACAAATATAACAACTTGACAAAGAGTAATAATGCAGCGGAAATTCAATCCCCTTCTTGCGAGAATCAGCGAGGAGCACCAAACAAATAGAATCCAAAGCACAAAGAGACACCAACAATTTTAACGTGGAAAACCCCTCAATGCAAGGGTAAAAACCACGAGTCGTCCAGACCAAAGAAAAATCCACTATGATCAATAATGGGGTACACAAGAGTCTCCAATAATAATACCAAAAGGTATTTTCAATAAGCAGAATTAACTAAGCACAAATGCTTACAAAAGAGAAACAAAGAAGATGAAAAATCTCCAAAACAGGGCTGCTGGTGCGGGACCAATTTCTCCCAATCTAGACCTTCGATTGACGATCCGAACGGTCAGAATGAAGAACCATATGTCTGGAACCTACTATCCAAAAATCAGCTCGATCCAACGGTGAACGACTTCACAGCGACGAAAACACCAGTGCAGATTTAGGGTTATGCGGAGATGACTTTCTCTCTTTCTTTTTCTCTCACTAGACTTTTTGTCTTTTTTCAAATGACTCTCTTATCCTCTACTAATCTGACCCATCTCATTTTACCCAAATGAGACATAATGGACCACACTATTTGGGCCTATTCTCCACATAGGAAGGGAGCCCAATAACCCAACAGATGCTAGTGGTGACCTTTATAGAGGCGGTGGAGGGAGAGTTTTAGGATTTTTTTCATTAGGATAAATTTGGTTTCCCAAGCAGAATTAATGGCTATCATGTTTTTTGAATTGGTGTTGTACATTAACTATGGTTGGAATGAGATTCAAAGCTAAAAGCTTTTAAACTAAACTAATGGAGGTGGTTCCTTGGCATCTCGGAGGGAGGTAGATTAGGTTATAAGTTTATGTGCTATGTATTTGGCAGTTTCTCACACTTTTCAACAAGGAATTAGATCTGCAAACAAAATGACTATGGTATAGAAAATGGATAATTTTTTCTTTGATTTGATCAGAAGTCCTTGTGTGTAAGTTTTAGCCTTTTTTTTCTTTTAAATAGTTTTGGAATTATGAAATATAGGTTTGCTTGATGGTTTTGCTGATTCATTAGTTTTGATCTAATTTTCTCATAAGATTTTATATTTTATTTTATTTTATTTTATTTTTATTTTTATGGTATTCTATAACATATACATATATATATATATATATATATATATATATATATATATATATATATAACACATATTAATGGAATTTGAGATCCCAACCTTTATCTTTTATTAAAAAAAAACTAATAAATTGGAATAACCAAATTTAACAAAATTAAATCCGTAATACCCTTAAATTAAAACAATGTATTGGAGTTGTAATACCCTTAATTAATATGAAAGGGAGCACGTGAAAATAAAGATGATAATGTTAATTTTTATTTTATTTTTCATATTTTTCCACTTCATCGTGTCATTTTTTTTATTTCTTTTCAATGAAAACCTTTAACTTCTATTTCATTTTTTTATTTATCATATTTCTTGTCACTCTACCAAACTTAATCTCAACACTTTTTTTTATATATTAAGATAAAAATGCAGTTATTATATTTATTTTACTAATAATTATATGATTATTTTCTTATTATGAAGGGTAAAAAATTACTTTAAGAGCATGTTTAGTGTTTTTAAGAAGCAATATTATCATTGGAACGGAACAAGTTTATCTGCAAAATATAGAAAGTTTTAAAAAAGTAAACTATGTGTTATGAAGTTGTTTATAAATAAAAAAAGTTCATTTATTATTTATTGTTATTAAAGATTGAACTAATATTATAATTTGAAACAAAATAAGAGAAAATATGAATTTTTTAACTTGTGTGTATTGGAATATTTCTATTTACGTAGGGAAATAAGAAAAAGGAATATGAAGATATCAAAAATCAAAATAATGGAGCTTGATGGTTGATGGAGGACAATGATTTGATGATAACCATGATGATAAATTACCAAACTGATATATTCGTAGAAATTTCTTTGAACTGTAATCTTTTCCTTTTCAAGTATGCATGCAGGAAAACAAATGCATTTGTCTCATCTTGTAAACCATCTTTCAAATTTCATTCATCCAAGCCATGATTTGCCTCCCTTCTGAGTTTCTGTGGACAGCGATTTGATGAGAAGCATGATCACGAATAATCAAATACATATATTTATAGAATTTTTCTTGAGCTGCAAATTTTCCCCTTCAAAGTAAATGTGCAGAAAAAACATGCATTCGTCTATCTTCTAAATTAGTAGTTAATTAATATTCCCAAGATTTCACTAAAAATCTCTTAGCTCTATCTTTTCATCTTCCAACAAAGTGTGAAATTATCTTATTATTACATTCCAACTGCTTTAACGCTATGTAATTAATCTAATTAATGGGTTAATAATTGGTTTAAAACAGATAGGTAACAACAATAATTTCTCTGACAATATTGTACCTATACCTCTATATATACCAAACCCTTTCAGTTCATCCCACAGCACCTCTCAAAGGAAAATAGCACACCATTTGGCTTTTTACAAATTCATAGCACACACCATGGCCAAATCTATTTGCTCACTGGTCTTTCTTTTCATTTTTCCTCTGCTCCTCTCATGCAACAACTTGGGTAATTAATTCTTGGGTTTCACCGTAAAGTTCTATCCTTTTATTAGGTCAACAATTTCCACATAAATTTATATTATCTACGTATAATATGTTAATATAAACACTCTTTGAAATGTGTGATTATTTGGTTGACTTTGCAGTAGGGCATGTGAAGTTTGCTAATGGATTGGTGAAAACTCATGACCTTGATTAAGTATCTTTCATATATAAACATTGATGACAGCTCATAGTTTATTTGAAATACAGGAAGCCCAGAAGAGTTGGTGTATAGCAAACCCTTCATCAAGTGATTCAACACTGAAAAATAACATTGAATTTGCTTGCAATGTCTTGGGTGATTGCAAGATGATCCAGCCAGGTGGATCCTGCTTCGACCCCAACAATCTCTTCAACCATGCCTCTGCTGTCATGAATCAGTACTATGCATTTAATGGTGGAAACGGTTGGAACTGTTACTTCTCAGGCTCTGGTCTCATTGTTGTCAACGACCCTAGTAAGCTATTAATATTTGCTATATTATGTATATATTTCCTTAAGAAAATTGGAAGAAATATAACATGTGATTCATTTGAGGTTATTAGTAAACCGTGTTTTGTGTGGTGTTTTATTTTGTTTTTGTTTTCTTTGTCTACAGGTTACGGTAACTGCACTTATGCTTAGAGCGAATAAAAAGAATGAAGATAATATATATTTACTCTATAGGCTATATTTGATTTCCAAAGTTCATTACATGGTAGGTTCTGTTAGGAATAGGAAGTTCATTATTCACTATTGTGGTCTTTCTATTTCATTAAGTATAGTTTGTGTATTTCATTGCTTAATGAAAAATACAATGCTTCCCTTAAAAGGTTACAATTCAAAGCTTCAATGATAAAAGAAAGTTAAAAAAATAAAAAAAAATAGTCACAATTGTGCTCTTTCTATTTCATTAAGTTTGTTCATGTTGTTTGTGAAAATATACAATGTTTCTCTTTAAAAAAAGTTGGAATAAGAAAGTAAAAAAAAAAAAAAAATTTAAAAAGGGGCATTCCGAGAATTGAACTCGGGACCTCTCGCACCCTAAGCGAGAATCATACCACTAGACCAAATGCCCGCTGATAAAATATTGGAAAAGTAAATTAAATATACTTTTTAATGCATATTATATAAAGAAAGATAAATTATTTTCGCACATGTTAGCTCATTTATTAAAAAAAGAAAGATAAATTATTTTTTTCATCTGAAATAATCTTTCTAAAATTATATAAAGATGTTTCCACAATCCATAACTCAACAAGTAACTTATACTATCATTTATTTTTATTTTCAATAATGAATTATTAACTTATAATATCAGTTTTTTTCACTGTATTTAAAAAAAAAGTTTTGATAGCTTTTTAAACTGAATATATATATATATATATATATATATATATATATATTTATTAATAACAAGGGGGAAAGAAAACTGAAGGAACTAGGAATGAAATCAGTAACCCTCCCTCACATAGCACGAATCAAACCAGCAAATGTTTCATTTTAGAAATTTCTAATTATGGTTATTTAAATATTTAGAAACGGTTTAATTAATAAATAATTTTAAAACTCATATAAAAACATTTCATTACAATTAATTGAAAAAAAAACGAGTATATGAATTAAAATGATTATTTACAAACTTGAAAAATTTCTTCAAATAGAATCCGTAGAAACCAGGATAAGTGTTTTTTTTTTCTTTTTTATTTTATTTTAAGGCACTTGTAAATCTCATTAATCAAGCACACGTAACATATATGATTTGAAGCTTAAGGTTCCTCTTTTTAGTTTGAATATTAATTAGTATATTTCACGCAAAACTTCGTAAAATTAAGTTTTCACATATTGAACAGTTCAAGTTGAATTTTTTTAAATTCATTTTTCAGAAAAATAATATATATTTCATGTAAAGCTGTCTATGTTTGTTTCTGTTAGATATTGTTTAGATATTATTTGATATTGTTAAGATATTGTTAGATATTGGTAACCACAATATCAAACAATATCTTCTATTTATTTTGTTACTTTCAGTTACTCTTTTAGTTGTATCTCTCTACTATAAATAGATCACCCTATGTGTGATTTATACACAAAAGAAATTAATTTCAAACACTATTTTATCTATATTCAACATGGTATCTAGAACTTAAGGTTATTTTGAATTTTTTTTTCCGCCTTTTGTCCACTGTTGGAGCCGCCCCACCGCTGCTAGAGCCGCTCCACCGCTGCTGGTAAACTGATCCTCCACATCAGAAAAGAATTATCTTTGTTACTGAATTTTATTTGGTAGTGTGAAAGTGCATGTTTAGAAAAGTTCTGGCAAGGAAAGACTTGGTATTTAAGTATGTCCATTAGTGACCCACCTCTCTTTCCTGGGAACTTACCTGGTGTACTAGTTCACGTTGTTGTCATCGCTGCCGCTGGAGCAGTCACCGGATCTGCTGCTGCCGGAGAATTCGTCAGAGTTTCATTTTTTTTTATCGGTGACATATGATTTTGCTTGTCTCGGTCAGGTGACCACCGCGCCATTGAGATCACCACTATCGGAGTTGGTCGTCCTATTGTCTCCTGCGCCGTTTAGTCTTGACGAACTTATTTTTAGTATTCTCATTTTGGATTTGTGCTTCGTGGGTTAATTGGATTACTTTAGATTGTTTTAGGGTTTGTTCTCCCGCTCTTCATGACTTCTTCCACTATTTCCAATTTTGTTAACGATTCTTTTGTATTGACATCCCATCGTGATGACCGGGCTCGCCCTCGCAAACAGAAAAAAGGGCGTCCTAAGTGTGAACATTGTGGAAAACTAGGTCACAAGATTAACAAGTGTTATACATTACATGGTCGTCCTCCTCAATCTGCTGTAGTTGTTCAGACCAATCTTTCCCCACCTTTATCTGCAGGGGATCTTCCTTCTTCTATTGCATCCGACATGCTTGCTATGCTCAACAAATTTCTCGAATGGTATAAGGATCAACAGTCTTCTAGTTCCACTATATCTGTCACACATACAAATATATATTTTGCTGGTCTGACCCAATCATTTCTCCTGGTCCTTGGGTTTTTAATTCGGGAGCCACTGATCATATTACTGGTAACAAATCTTTGTTCTCCTCTTTATCCTCTCCTAATCATTTACCTTCTGTTACACTGGCTGATAGCTCTAGAGTATCATCTCATGGTGTTGGAACGGTTAAACTTTTTCCTTCTTTAACCATTGATAATGTTCTTTATGTCCCTAGGTCTCCTTTTAACCCGTTGTCCATCAGTCGTCTAACTCGTTCTCTTGATTGTGTTGTTACTTTTACCAATAATTCTATGTGTTTACAGGACCGGAGTTCGAAACAGGTGATTGACATAGGATGTGAGTCTCATGGTCTTTATTATCTCCGTCCCTCTACACATGTTAGTACAGTTATGGAGTCTCCCTCTCTTCTTCATGCTCAGTTAGGTCATCCAAGTCTTGCCAAGTTACAGAAACTTGTCCCTGCCTTGTCCAACTTATCTAGTTTGGCGTGTGAGTCATGTCAATTAGGCAAGCATAGTCGTACTTCCTTTCCTCGTAGTCTCACACGTGGTGCTTCGTCCCCTTTTGCCGTGGTTCACTCTGACATTTGGGGACCTAGCCGCATTAAGTCTACTTTAGGTTTTCAATACCTTGTTACTTTCATTGATGATTATTCCAGAAGCACTTGGTTATTTTTGATGAAAAATTGTTCTGAATTATTTCATATCTTTCAAACTTTTTTTAATGAAATTCAAACTCAGTTCGGTGTTTCTATTAGAGTTTTGCGTAGTGATAATGGCCGTGAATATCTTTCTCATTCTTTTAAACAATTCATGGCTTCTCACGGTATTTTGCATCAAACTTCTTGTGCTTATACACCTCAACAAAATGGTGTAGATGAACGTACAAATAGACATCTTATTGAAACAACTCACATACTTTTAATTCATGGAGATGTTCCTCAACATTTTTGGGATGATGCTCTTCTTACTGCATGTTATCTCATTAATCGCATGTCTTCTTCGATTTTAGATAATAAAATACCTCATTCCATTTTATTCCCTCATGAACCACTTCATTCTTTACCTCTGAAAGTTTTCGGGTCTACATGTTTTGTTCATAATTTCAGTTCTGGTCTTGACAAGCTTTCTCCTAGATCACATAAATGTGTTTTCTTAGGATTTACAAGATCACAAAAAGGATACAAATGTTTTTCTCCTTCTCTTAACCATTATTTTGTGTCAAAAGATGTCACCTTTTGATGAGTTGTCTCTTTATTTTAAAAGTCAATCTTCACCTCTGTCTCCGTCTAATCTTGTCAACACTCCTAGTACATTTAATGTTCCTGTTGTTTGTGACCCTCTAACTGTGTCTTCTTCACCATTAGTTCCTGCTCCGCAGTCAGCTTCTTCTCCACTGCCTCTTCAGATTTATAGTTCTCGAAACCAATCACAACCACCACCATGTGACTCTACTCAAGTGTCAACTACTCTGTCTCCTCCGGATCTGACACATGAGTCTGACCTTCCCATTGCCCTCCGAAAAGGTATTCGTTCTACACGTAATCCCTCTCCCTATTATATTGCTTTGAGTTATCATCGACTGTCATTACCTTTTTATACATGTCTTTCCTCTATTTCTTCTGTGACCATTCCAAAAACTGTCCGTGAAGCTTTAGCCCATCCTGGTTGGCGTCAGGCCATGTTAGATGAACTAAGTGCTCTTCATAATAGTGGAACTTGGGAATTGGTCTCGTTACCGTCTGGGAAATCTGTTGTTGGTTGCAAGTGGGTGTTTGCTATCAAAGTTGGACCTAATGGTACTATTGATCGCCTTAAAGCTCGTCTTGTGGCCAAAGGTTATACTCAAATTTTTGGGTTGGATTATGGAGATACCTTTTCCCCTGTGGCAAAGATGGTTTCTGTTCGTTTATTTATCGCTATGGCTGCTCTTCAACAATGGTCTCTTTATCAACTGGATGTTAAAAATGCTTTCCTCAATGGTGATTTGCAAGAAGAAATATATATGGAGCAACCTCCTGGGTTTGTTGCTCAGGGGGAGTCTTCTGGGATGGTATGTCGTCTTCGCAAATCCCTATATGGCCTAAAACAGTCTCCTAGGGCTTGGATTGGAAAGTTTAGCAAGGTTGTTCAACAATTTGGTATGACTTGGTGTGAATCAGATCATTCTGTCTTTTATCGACACTCGAGTACTGGATGTGTTTACTTGATAGTATATGTTGATGACATCGTTCTTACAGGTAGTGACAACCATGACATCTCTCAGTAGAAACAACATCTCTGTCACCATTTTCAGACCAATGATCTTGACAAACTTAGATATTTCTTGGGTATTGAGGTGGCACAGTCCAATGATGATATTGTTATATCTCAGAGGAAGTATGTCATAGATATTTTGGAGGAAACTGGGTTGATGAGTTCAAAGTCTGTTGATACACCCATGGATCCCAATACTAAACTTCTACCAAATCAGGGGAGCCTATATCTGATGCTGAGCAGTATAGAAGATTGGTTGGAAAATTGAATTATCTTATAATTACTCGTCTTGACATTTCCTTTGCAGTCAGTGTGGTAAGTCAATTTCTTAATTCACCATGTGAAGATCATTGGAATGCAGTCAT